CGTTTCAGAGAACCAATGCACTGAATTAATTCTGTAAGATTTAGTTTTACATTTAATATAAATAAGAAGATGTGGTATGAGTACCAATGAGACAACTATCCATTAAATCTAAACCTGTTCAAAGATTGTAATACTGGACAAGCACAATTTAAATGTAGGACAAAATCGGCTTACAACACGAAATTTGTACCAAGCATGTGACAAAATGACGGGTATGTAACGGGTATGCCGTTTGTTTAACGTTCAGTGGCAAATGTTTCATGCATATTCAGGACCAAACTAAGTTGGACAGACGACAAAAGCGAAATGGTGACAAATTCATTGTTCAAAATTTATTTCCAAGTGTAATTTAGGAAATCATATATATATATTACTAAACAAAAACAAGATTATTATGGAAATAAATTTTACTGTTACTTATTGAACATGATAAAAAGATCAAACCCGCTAAAAGAAAATAAACCCCGCGTAAGAAACTTTGAAAGAAAGCTAAAATAAATGAAATTTAAAAAAAAAAATTACACAAGCAACTTTAAACTTTCAATATTATGAAAATAATGCTGATATTTTCCTGGCCAGGTTTGATAATAGCAAAAAATTACAAAAAGTTTCTTGAAATATCAAAATTAATAACAAAGAACAGTTACTTTTTTTTTTTAATTTTGATTTGTCAAGTTGAATACCTTGTGCTATCTATGAATACACTCTTTGTTCTTGAATCGGGGTTTGGTTGACCTCAAAGGGTATTACGTTTTAAAACAATAACTTTAATGATATATACAATTATTTTATTTGGGAGGGGGGAATCCTTTCCCCTAAAATTTTTTTTTATAAAAACAATAGGCTTATAGTATTTTGAAGCATTCAAATGAAATGAAACTTAATATAAATTTTAGAAATAAAAAAACTTATTAAGCAAGTTTGCCCAAAAATGATTGATATTTCAAAGAAAGATTTTTAGTGTGTTCAAAGCAAGCTTAAACCAGAATGTGTATAGATGTCTTTGCTTATACGTATGTGTGAATAACAGTCATAAATCACTTCTAAGCATTAAAAATCAACGATGTAGCATTAATTCATTACTGTTTTATCGAAAGTGATCAAGATGCGCCGGCGCGTTACGTTTGCGCGAATTCGTCCTACGTTTTCGCGAATAAAATCCACGTTTGCTCGACACAACGCATTAAGTTTGCGCGAAAGTTACCTGTTGAAAAGTTACTACGTTTGCGAGGATTTATACTAAAACATATGAAAAATAAATCCATAACTTTTGATGAAAAACAAAATTTACTTGATATAGTCTAAAAAAAATGAAATTTAATTTGAACAAATTTACTTAATATAATTTAAAAAAAAAAAACAATAAAAGGTTGCCGTTTTCATCTTGGACATGCCTCGTTTCGAAAAATACAAAATTTAGGCATAGCTAATGAGTACAAATGATAAGTCAACTGAAATAGAAAAATGGTTAACCCAGATTTTGGATTGCCATTTCTTACGGCGGAAGAAGTTGAGAACAGTTTTGCAGACGATATAATTTCAGATGCTCCAGTAAATGAAAACTGCAAAAAATTTGCCGACTACTTAGTAGAAAATTACGTTACCAGTTAGTCAAAATTTCCACCAGCAATGTGGACGGCTATGCCTAATGAAGAAACAAAACGTACCAACAATGGGCCAGAGTCTTTCCATAGCCATTACAATGAACAGTTTTATTCTACTCATCCAGCCATCTATAATTCGTTGAGATTTTACTGAAAGTTCAGGCGACTACTTACATTAAAATTTACGGCAGCAATAACCAAGTCCTTGTAAAGTGCACAGACAAAGAACAATTCAGTTTACCGTTCAACAGTTTTTTAAATTTCAAACTGGTGAAATTTCCCGCCAATGTTATCTGAAATCGCTAGGATATAAGTACCAGACAAGGATTGCTTTACAGATGGTTCCCGTATAGATATCATCTGCATGTATACTGCGTTTTATTCATGACTATACTTTGAATGTTCTTTTCCATGATATTCGCTATATTTTATTCAAAAATTTTCTTTTACATAAATGTTATGCTTTTCAATGTTTTTCATATAAACAAATAAAGACGTCTCTAATAAATATTTATCAATATATGAAATAAGAAGATGTGGTATGATCACCAATTTATGTTCAAGAAAATAAACGAAAAACAAATTACAGGTAAAAAAAACCTCAGGTAAACTACAGGTAAATTCGCGCAAACGTAATACCATTTTTCCGCGCAAATGTAATGCCTGTCTTTTTCAAATTCGCGCAAATGTAGGTCGCCCAGATGCGCGTATCGCGTAGTTCAAATTTTATGACACTTAATGTTTTTCAAAACACATAATAGTTATGCATCCTTTTATCAAAGTTTTGTTTTTCGTTAACACTATAAGACCACGCACGACATATCCCGAAGTATAACACGTGCCGATAAGAATCTGTATAACGTTGTAAATATTGCTTTGATAATCCAATAACAAACATTTCAATTAAAGAAAAAAAAAAATCTATGGAACGATATACTTTTATTCAATTATATGTTGCTATACATTGTCAAAAAACACCTATTACAATGTCATTGCCAGTTTTCACTCATCAGCGCACACAGGTTTGTCGAATAGGCCAGCTGATTGGAGGAAAGTTAAAGATAGCCACGCCTACCTTAAACTAATATCCATTCAAACGCCTTCATAAACATAAATTAATAATTCAAACATCGATAATGTTTCGGAGAATTGGTTGCGTATTCACTATTTGAATAAAGTTTAGACTTTTTATTCAAACTTAGAAATACAAATTAAAGAACCTTAGTGAGCGCGCTCACATACCCAACGTCCCCAAATTGTCATTGGAGAAATAAAATATGTGTAAGAAAAAAAAATTGTAAAAGAAAAAAAAATTGAATCATAATTTCCTGTCAATATGCACATCTACATAGTATGTCCTTATTATCTAAAAAGGTTTCATGAAATTCTGTTGTGTGGTATCAGAGGAGTTGCGATGACAAACTGTTGCAGTAGTACATTGAAGCAAATAAGTTCAAAGGGGCGTAACTCCTAGAAAAAAAATTGAACCGTAATTTCCTGTCGATATGCACATCTACATAGTATGTCCTTATTATCTAAAAAGGTTTCATGAAATTCTGTTGTGTGGTATCAGAGGAGTTGCGATGACAAACTGTTGCAGTAGTACATTGAAGCAAATAAGTTCAAAGGGGCGTAACTCCTAGAAAAAAAATTGAACCGTAATTTCCTGTCGATATGCACATCTACATAGTATGTCCTTATTATCTAAAAAGGTTACATGAAATTCTGTTGTGTGGTATCAGAGGAGTTGCGATGACAAACTGTTGCAGTAGTACATTGAAGCAAATAAGTTCAAAGGGGCGTAACTCCTAGAAAAAAAATTGAACCGTAATTTCCTGTCGATATGCACATCAACATAGTATGTCCTTATTATCTAAAAAGGTTTCATGAAATTCTGTTGTGTGGTATCAGAGGAGTTGCGATGACAAACTGTTGCAGTAGTACATTGAAGCAAATAAGTCCAAAGGGGCGTAACTCCTAGAAAAAAAATTGAACCGTTATTTCCTGTCGATATGCATATCTACATAGTATGTCCTTATTATCTAAAAAGGTTTCATGAAATTCTGTTGTGTGGTATCAGAGGAGTTGCGATGACAAACTGTTGCAGTAGTACATTAAAGTAAATAAGTTCAAAGGGCGTAACTCCTAAAAAAAAAATTGAATCGCAATTTCCTGTCGATATGCACAACTACATAGTATGTCCTTATTATCTAAAAAGGTTTCGTGAAATTCGGTTGTGTGGTTTGAGAGGAGTTGCGATGACAAGAAACAGGACTGACGGACTGACGGACGGACGGGTCAAAAACATTATACCCTCCGCAACTCGTTGCGTGGGGTATAAATATGACCGTAATGCAAGATTCGCGATTTTACAATAAATTTTATACATCGACGTGTAATTCCCGGAATCGTCATATTTAAAGATTTGGCCTAGATAATAAAATTTTCACCTACCTAGTGCAGAAAAAAAAACCAAAATTTAATAAAATTTGCAAATGAACAATTTCGGGTTGTTCTCTATTCGTACAAAAAATCACCAGCAAATTTCTTAAATAAAAAAATCAAATAGTTCTTTTACCTGTATGCAATCGCAAACAAAAATCATTTAAGGTTTTGATCTAGTTGCAAAAGACGACAATGCTCCTTTAAACTGTAAATTGCCTGAAGACAGCATAAGGGTAAAATACAAGTGTATATAATACCATAAAGAATTTAATCCCCAACCGTCCTTGGCAATGAAAAACTCTGATTCTTTTTTATATTTACCTGAGAGATCATAAAAGACAAACGTAACAAGACTTTCAAAGGTGTTTGTGAAAAATGAAACAAAATAAAATACTTTTTTGTAGACGAGTTACAAATTAAATAAGGAAATTTGACCGAATGAATGAAATAAACTTTAAAAAAAAAATCGGTGCACATCTTTCTAGTGGCAAAAACACGCATATCGAGTTACATAGATGAAAAAGAATAAGTATATTAAAAATAATTATGATGTCAATTTAATAAATTCAAGGATTATAGCTAGAAAACAACCTTAAACACGATTCGTGATTTCCCAGGTATATAAATTAAAATAGATTTATTAATTTTTATCAATAAATTAAATTCCGAAATACACAGGCATGGCTCTGGTCCTTGGCAGTTCAGCGAACAATATTACACAAAATGCACGATGAGATTAATCGAAATCAAAGGTGAAAGATTCAAATTGTAAAATCAGCCACTGGACGTTAAATAGTAACCAATCAATAAACGACGATACAATCCAATCAATGTGTTTCTATCAATCATTTAATGACAATGAATGTAAAAGTATGATAGAAATACCTTTAATTTATTGTAATTACATATTTTTTTTTATCAAATGAAATTTTTATAAACTGCTCCTTGTTATCAGTACCCGTCAGTTCGTTGCGATATTTCATAGCTATTTGCAAATTCAGAAAAAAATAATAAAGGACAAATAAATGTTCCCATGGGAAAAATATATGTTCCAATGGGAAGAATAAATGTTCCCAAGGGAAAAAGATGTTCCCATGTGAAGAAAAATAGTTCCATTGGGAACAAAAATTTCCCATGGGAACAAACTATTTACTAATGTTCCCATGGGAAATTGTAGTTTCCATAGGAACTTTAAAATTCCTATGGGAAAAGTACTTTTAATCAGCTTTAGTGACAACAGTGACATGTAGGGACATATGGAGAAATCATTTTTTTATAATTATATATCATTTGGCCAAAAAATATTTTTGTTATCTTGTAAAACAACAAAGTCAGATTTGCCAGTTCTGGAACGGCAAATTTTTCCCGCACAGTGTCCAAAAAATATGTTTGTTATCTTGTAAAACAACAAAGTCAGATTTGCCAGTTCTGGAATGGCAAATTTTTCCCGCATAGTGTTGTGTGTTCTCGCGTTGTCCCGATGAGAAGGTCTGTCGAAAGGTAATTTTTACTAGAAATTGCAAGTTTCCAGAATTCGCAAGGCCTCTATTTTATGTTGTCCTGTGTGTGCCTTGGTCGTTGGTACTGGGAAGAACTTTCTTGGTCGTTTGACAATGCAGTAAATGCTTAGAACTTTTATGATATTATTCATGGAATTTATTTTTATTCATTCGATAAAAAAACTCCCGCGTTCAGCGTACTTGACGGTCAAGTCGGCAAAATTAATTGTTTATTTCATATTGCCAAAGGTTTGTTAATAGTTTTTATACAAAGCGTGCATGCTATACATGTACGAAGGATGCAGAACTGTTAGTATCTAAGGGAGTAAATACACACAGAAATAAGCATTAATCTTATAAGAAAGAAAGAAAGAAAAAAAATATCTGCATTAATCTTATAAGAAAGCAAGAAAGAAAAAAATATATAACACACCTATAATGAAATTTCTTGTAACAATTCGGTAAAAGTTGGACATCATTTTAATGATGAAGAATGCAGAAGAAATACAAGTAAGTGTTGGATTGATGAGCAGTTCAAATTACACAGAATCAAGACAAACTTTAGGCATTGGCAATCATACCACATCTTCTTATTCTTAAATTAAAGCTTCTTTCTAAAACAGACATTGAAAGTCGGTCAGTCTTCCTGTACTTTTCCGCCTTTGCAACAACAACATTTTAACTACAGTTTGAATTTTTCTATTTTTACTATGATCACGTACTTGTGTACATATTGAACTTTTCAGTGATGATTATCTTCCTATAAGTGCGACCACAGCTATTATAAGAATGATGTAAACATGTTGAAGTACATGATCAAATAAACAGGAAGTAGAAATTTAATATTTGTTTTCCGAATAGATTAACCGAAGGAACTTTCAGTAGTAATTACTAGATATGCATTACAATGGATGCTATAAGTCCAGATAATGTGACTTGATTTTGAGAAATAAAAGGATATGAGGATACCACATGCTCAACAGAATATTCCATTAAAAATGTAATGATATGAAGTCAAAGTATGGCCTTCCATATATAGCAAGACGATATATAAACAACAAAGTATGGCCTTTTATAGCAAGACGATATATAAACAACAAAGTATGGCCTTCCATAGCAAAGCGATATATAAACAACAAAGTATGGCCTTCCATAGCAAGACGATAAATAAAAACAACAAAGCATGGCCTTCCATAGCAAGACGATATACACACAACAAAGTATGGCATTCCATAGCAAGACGATATATAAACACAAAGTATGACCTTCCATAGCAAGACGATATATAAACAACAAAGTATGGCCTTCCATAGCAAACCGATAAATAAAAAGACGATATATAAACAACAAAGTATGACCTTCCATAGCAAGACGATATATAAACAACAAAGTATGGCCTTCCATACCAAGACGATATATATAAACAACAAAGTATAGCCTTCCATAGCAAGACAATTTATATAAACAACAAAGTATGGCCTTCCATAAAAAGACGATATGTAAACAACAAATTATGGCCTTCCATAACAAGACGATGAATAAAAACAACAAAGTATAGCCTTCTATAGCAAGACGATATATAAACAACAAAGCATAACCTAGGCCTTCCATAGCAAGACGATAAATAAACAACAAAGTATGGCCTTCCATAGCAAAACGATATATAAACAACAAAGTATGGCCTTCCATAGCAAGACGATATATAAACAACAACGTATGGCCTTCCATAGCAAGACGATATATAAACAACAAAGTATGGCCTTCTATAGCAAAGCGATATATAAACAACAAAGTATGGCCTTCCATAGCAAGACGATAAATAAAAACAACAAAGCATGGCCTTCCATAGCAAGACGATATACACACAACAAAGTATGGCCTTCCATAGCAAGACGATATATAAACACAAAGTATGACCTTCCATAGCAAGACGATATATAAACAACAAAGTATGGCCTTCCATAGCAAACCGATAAATAAAAAGACGATATATAAACAACAAAGTATGACCTTCCATAGCAAGACGATATATAAACAACAAAGTATGGCCTTCCATACCAAGACGATATATATAAACAACAAAGTATAGCCTTCCATAGCAAGACAATTTATATAAACAACAAAGTATGGCCTTCCATAAAAAGACGATATGTAAACAACAAATTATGGCCTTCCATAACAAGACGATGAATAAAAACAACAAAGTATAGCCTTCTATAGCAAGACGATATATAAACAACAAAGCATAACCTAGGCCTTCCATAGCTAGACGATAAATAAACAACAAAGTATGGCCTTCCATAGCAAGACGATATATAAACAACAACGTATGGCCTTCCATAGCAAGACGATATATAAACAACAAAGTATGGCCTTCCATAGCAAGACAATATATAAACAACAAAGTATGGCCTTCCATAGCAAGACGATATATAAACAACAAAGTATGGCCTTTCATAGCAAAACGATATATAAACAACAAAGTATGGCCTTCCATAGCAAGACGATAAATAAAAACAACAAAGTATAGCCTTCTATAGCATGACGATATATAAACAACAAAGTATGGCCTTCCATAGCAAGACGATATATAAACAACAAAGTATGGCCTTCCATAGCAAGACGATATATAAACAACAAAGTATGACCTTCCATGGCAAGACGATATATAAACAACAAAATATGGCCTTCCATAGAAAGACGATATATAAACTACAAAGTATGACCTTCCATAGCAAGACGATATATAAACAACAAAGTTTGCATCCTATATGACTCATTCTTAAGAATGGGAAATTCCTCTACATTCAATCTCGGCTTCTAATAACTGTTCCACAACGAATCATTCTGTCCTTTTAACTAGTTCTTTGACCACTTTAAAATGAATTGTCATTAGATTTAATGACAACATGCATACGAAAATAATATTTCTGAATATATGAATATGCCAGTCGCTGTCTGTCTTTCTGTTTTTCGTGTATTGTTTTCAGCATCAATCTTGTTGGTCTTCTCTTTTAAATTGTTTCACATTTGATCATACCCTGGCCTTTGAAGCTTACTTTACAGTTTGGGTTTTGCTCAAGGTTGAAGACCTCACATAAACATATAGTTGTTTACACTTTCGTCCTTTGATATCTGATGGATTGCTGTCTCATTTGCAATCGTCCCACCCATCCATATTTTTATATAAATATACTTACTGGAACCGTTATTAGATTCTTAACTTGTAATTTTTCTCCTTGACAATATCTTTGTACGTTTCGGCAAATCATTTTTTCGATATGTTGTAATTGGCTAAAAATTGCGCCTTTTTCATAGAAGACTTGTTACAATATTGTTATGAATATGAAATCAATAAATGATTCTTAAATGGTTTTTTTTCCGTCGTACAATTCTTTCAATCCATACCCACATTTAAATCAGTAAAACATGTTGCATGTCCATATTGCCGAGACTGAACAATGAAAACCTGAATCAAGTCATAAGAATATATTGCAGGCAGGAATACGCGAACGTGCTGTTGTAAACAATTTCACGTCAGCAACTGCTCTTAATGTCTTGACAACAACTGTACAGGCAGACGGATCAACATGTATTGACAACACCACGCCAATAAATTTAATTACGCAACGTCAACTTCTAATCAAGTCGTCGAATATCATCGCAGACAGATTCACGCCATAAATGTTTCCCATATACTGAAACCTTTAAAGCCCTAAAGATTCATGAAACTGCATTATTACGAACACACACTGTAATGGGTGGGACAGAGGCCAAATCAGAAGGTACAAAACATGCCCAACAGAACTGGTTGATCATTCTGTCAATAATTTAGGCGTTGGTTACAATCAGTCATTTTATTCGACGCTGACACATCCATTGATAAGGGGAAAAACTAGGGTTTCAGTGCATACCACATAATTCAATTTGAACATTAAACATGACGTAATAAATTCATCTGTTGAACTGCAATCATTTTTTAGACAAGTAATGAATGAAATTTATGTTTATACATTTATTTTACAAAAATTGCATATTTGAAAATAAAAATGAAAAAAATTATTCTAGTGTTGCGTTTTTAAAGTCTGTCAGAATAATTGTCCTTTTTTGATTCTCAGTTTCTACCGGAAAACTCTATATCAACATTTAGGAAAAGAGGAATTTCGTTCCCTTTTGCTACTTTTACTTTTCTGGACGTCGAGGTCTATTTTGGTCCCTTTTAAGGGGTGTATATTTCCGAACTCGAATAATTGTAATTAAGAATTGGAATTTTAAATATTTGATACATAAACAAGACGTTTCTCATTTATCTTAGTAGTAGAAACAACACTTACCAATAAACTGTTAACACAGAGATATGTCTCGCCTTTTTGTACTTTTGATAGTGCAAATGTTGAAATTAAAATAGCAATACTTTAACATGTAAGTTATGCAAAAATTTAAAGTCAATTAACCATGTCTGAAGATACATGGCAAAACAATCTCCATGTAAATGATATGTGCCAATGCTAATACAACTGCATACCAAATACCATAGACTTATCATAAGTCGTTCCCTTTCAACAAACATAAACACAAACATTGACTTGTAAACTATGTAAAAGTTTCAAAGTCAATGAACGATGATGAGGGGGTTGGGCTATACAATCTCCATGGAAACGAGACTTGCAAATGCCAATAGATTTGCATACCAAATATCATTGACTTAACATTAGCGGTTCATCTTAAACTGATCTAATCACAAACTTATACATGTAAACTAAGCAAAAGTTTCAAAGTCAATAGACCATGACTGCGGGGGCGGGACCAAATAATCTCCATGGAAATGAGGTATGCCAATGCTTATACAACTGCATACCAAATATCATTGACTTACCACTAGTGGTTCCCCTTGAACTAGACCTAATCACAAACTAATACATTGTTGACGCCGCCGCCTCCGCAGACGCCGGAAACAGCATACCTATGTCTCGCTTTTTGACTCCGTCTTGGCGAGACAAAAATACCAGGCTTATAATTTTGTACGCAAGACACGCGTTTTGTCTTCAAAAGAAAGACTCTTTCTATACGTATACACATTCATGGCTCTACAATCTGTCGATACCTGTATCTTGACATTGCACAAGGTCATGTTTTTCTCTGACTGTTAATGACGTCTTTACATTAAATCCATTGGATGTTGGATGTGTACTGATTGCTATTTTAGTCTTAGATGCATGATTTTTTTTATTGATTGTTATTGGCTTTGAACTAGCTGTCAGTAACTGCGAGTACTCGCAGATCTGTACTTAGTGTCTTTTTATTGTGGGGATGTACAAGTACCCTGCCTCATCCACTCTGTGTTTTTGTTAGATGTATTTCTATTTGTATCAATCCGATGAGTTAAAGCCTTTTTCAACTGATTTTTATAGTTTGTTCTTATGTTGTACTGCTACACCACTGTCCCAGGTTAGGGAGAGGGTTGGCGCCTTCAAACTAGTTTAACCCCGCCACATTCTGTATGTGCCTGTCCCAAGTCAGGAGCCTTTAGTGGCGTGATGGTTGTTGTTTTTTGCTGTTTATCATATTTGTTTTTCGTTTATTGTTTTGTATAGTGTGTACTTGTGTTATGCTGTTGCACCACTGTCCAAGGTTAGGGGGAGGGTTTGGTGACATCTAACTAATTTAATCCCGCTACATTCTGTATGTGCCTGTCCCAAGTCAGGAGCCTGTAATATAGTGGTTGTCGTTTGTTGCTGTGTAACATATTTGTTTTTCGTTCATTATTCTATACATTAATTAGGCCGTAAGTTTTCTCGTTTGAATTATTTTACATTTGTCAGTTCGGGGCCTTTTATACCTGACTATTCGGTATGGGCTTTGTTTGTTGTTGAAGGACTTACGGTGACCTAAAGTTGTTAATTTCTGTGTCAATTGGTCTCTTTTTTGTCATTGGCAATCATACCACATCTTCTTTTTTATATCATCAGTAACGCCTTTATAAAAAGAAATGTAAGAGGTAAAATAAAACGATTTAAGGATTATTGATAGAATATTTTTTCTCCTTATTCTTATCTTTTTGAGGGTCTCTTGCAAGTTATACATGTATGCTTCAAATGTGGACAGAAACAGTTCTGGTAACAGGACATGGATACGCATTTCCAAACGACGTCTCATATTTTATTGAATATGAATCAAAACTCCAGTATTTCGATAAAGATTCTTCGGTATATTTTTCTCTGAAATCAAGTTTAAATTATCTATACAGTGGTATTTTACGTGAATTCTGTATAAGCGAAATCTCTACAGCTAGTTTTTAGATGTATAGCTTATTTTCATTTATTTAACGAGGCGTTCAAAATAAATTAGTTTTGTATATGAAAACAATATTGTTCGTGTATATTAACAACTTTAATGGGTATGTATTGTGGCAAGTGGCGAAATAAAAAACCAAAATTTAACAAAATTAAATGGTCTAAGCGGCCTGTGAAAGCATTAGGGGTTCAACATGGGTATGGGGTGGACTTAGATCAAATTTGGTTAGAAAAAATAAATAAAATAAAAAGCTGTATGGAGGTTTGGAAATCAAGAGATCTCACATTTACGGGAAAAGTTTTAATTATTAAATCTTTTGTATTGTCTATGATTGGATACGAAATTGAAATGAGAGGTATTCCAGATATATACGAAAAACAAATAAATAATATTATATGGTCCTTTATATGGGACGGGAAAACAAACCAAATCGCAAGAACAGTGTGCTGTTTACCGAAAGAAAAAGGGGGGATAGGAATGATAAACTTAAGAGACTTTATTAAATCAAAATAGGTTAAAAGTATGTACAGTATTGTAAACTCAAAAATACAAAAATGGAATGCAATAGGTAAATACTGGTTAACGTCACTAGACGAAAAATATGATACAGACTTTTTTATATGTTCTTGTTCGGACACTAGAGGTCTTAGTCAAATAAAAATGTCTAAATATTATAAAGAACTTTAATTTCCTGGACTGACTTAGAGAAACCCCAAAAATCTGTTACAAAAGAGGACCTTTTAGAAGAAAATATATTCGGCAATTGTAAACTCAAGTTCAAGGGTCATGCCTTATATTATGCAAATTTTGCCTCCAGTGGAATAAAAAAATAAAAGATATATGGGACTTAAATAATGAATCCTTTAAAACTTCTTTTAAAATTTTTAACAACCTAAAAGATAAAAGGAACTGGATAGCACAATATAGCCGCATTAAAGCTTCGTTAACGCCTCAACAAATTGACCTTTTAAAAACAGACCCCATCATGCAAAGTCATTCCGATAGACCTATGAAAATAACAAATTCTTGTCAAATTTAAAAAAATGGAGTTGTCGTTGATGCTAAAAAATTGTGCCTTAAAGATATCAGATACTTTTATGAGAATAACATAACTCCAAATAGTCAGTTTAAGTGGAATTTACATTTTGGGAAAGAACTACCATGGGGCGATATTTGGGTCACTTTGAATAAGAATTTAGCAAATAGGAAAACTAAACAACTTCAATGGAAGCTACTTCATGATATAATTTACACAGGAGAAAAATTACAAAAAATGAATCGGTCAAACGGAAAGTGTCACTTTTGTAATGAGAAGAATCACTGTTTCATCTTTTTATTTACTGTAAACTGGTGGAAGACGTTTGGAGGGAAATTTTTGAGAAAATATGGGAATTTTGTTCAAAATTGAGTATCGAAAAATTACAACATTCGGAAACGAGTATCATTTTGGGTGTCATAAATGCAGATACATCATATTCTCAAATTT